AAAATGTGAAAAATGATGTAAAAATAAACTTTTTAATAAAAAAAAAAAGTATTTCTAGAACATAAAAAAAAAAAAAAAAAACCACCAGAAAGATGAAGCGTTGGAAAGGGTATGGAGAAAAAAGAAACCCTTGCATACTGTTAGTGGAAATAAAGAGTAGTCCAACGTTTATGGAAAACAGTGTGGAGGTTTCTCAAAATATTAAAAATAGATCTACCCCTAAGATTCAGCAATCCATGTCCTAGATCTACTCAAAGGACACAAAAACACTAATATGAAGGGCTATGTGCAGCTATGTCACTGAAATACTGACTGTTTAAATAGTCACTATGGAAACAACTTAAGTGCCCAAAGGCAGATAAGTGGATAAAGAAGGATCTTCATGGTGGCACAAGGGGTTAAGTCTCAGCACCATGAAGAAATCCCCAGTCACTGTAGCATGAGTTTGACCCACATGGCACAACAGAACTCTCCTGCCTCAACCGATGCTCCCCTTAGCAGTATGTTTCCGTCAATCCACCTATTCTGCTCCCCATTCTGTCTCTGGTGAATCCTCTCACCCCCAGCACCTCTAGCCTACACCCCAGTTCTTGTATGCAAAAAAAAAAAAAAAAAAAGAAGAAGAAGGAGGAGGAGGAGGATAAAAAAAAAAAGATGTGGTATATGTGGTATATTTATCCACAAAGGAATACTACTCAGCTGTTAAGAGTGTTGAAAATGAAATCCTGTTATTTGCAACAACATGGATGGGACTGGTGGGGATTACTTGAAGCAAAATAAGACAGAAGGAGAAAGACAAATATTTCACTCAAAGAAACAAAGCAAAGGAACAGACAAAAACAAAACAAACCCTTGAAATCTGACTACAAAACAAGACCATTATTTTGCCAACAACAATTGCTGATTGTGGAAATTTTTGATAGCTATGCTTTAATTAAAAATGCTGGCAATACAGTTCATTATTACTATACACCTACAAAACACAAAATGTTAACATTTTTCCATTCATCTTGGCCATGGTTTTTAAATTTCATAGTAACAAGTCAGGAAGACAAATTTGACTACAAATTAGATATTTTCTTAAAACATAACCGAGTGATAAGATTACATCAGCTCAGGTTTTCCTGAAACCGCTGCTGTCATTTCCCTATAACAGTGCTGCAGTAAACAGAGGCTTTCCTGAGCCCAAGAAAGTACCCAGTTTTGCTTTCCTACAAAAACCTACTATTTTTTATACTCCTTATAATAGTGAAGATACACATGGTCAGAGGTCAAGGAAAAAAGTGCCAGGCTCCAGAATTTTCTAGTGCTATTTTATGATAGCAATAATTACTACTATTGCTTCAGCCCATGGATTATCAGATTAATAACATAGCCAATCACTCTTTTTAGGCCTGTGTGAGAAGAAGAGATAAGGAAAAGCCACAGTGAATGTGTGGGACCTGTTATCTAGTTATTTGGCATTCTTAACAAGTTAAATCCCCAGGAAGTCAGATGAATAGATGACAGGAGAAAAATGTAAATTGTATTATCATCTCCGACATGCTAATATACATGGGTGCTGAAAATCCAACGGAAAGAGGACTGGCTTATTAAACTGTGGCATGCTACAATTTACATATCTCACCCTCCAGATGTGAAGAGGGTAAATGAGAACAGAGAAGGCTCAGATCAGCGGGGGATAAGGAGGAAAAATACATATGTATGTTTGCCATCACCGTGGCCAAGTGGAGAAAAAGTGACAGCAAACAGACTGACTTTTCTTTTTCCTACATAAATCTGACTTTAGTTCCTTTTCTGCTATGTTCTGGAGCGGCACTAAAGGGAGCAGCCAGCTACCCCTCACAGGTCTGCCAATCTGTGCGTGGCCCATTGCTTTCCAACAGGGAGCGTGGAGGCGATGCCAGGCGACTCCCTGGAGGGGGGCCCTGCTGCCACAGCATGTGCGGAGCCCGGGGAACATGATCAAACCCAGCAGCAGGAGTGTCCCCAGACACCCACCCCTCTCAGACAGTCAGCAAAAGAGGAAAACAGCTTTGAGTTTAGAAACACAAAGCTGAGGGCCTCCTGCTGTCCTAGGAGATGGCTCAGCTCTGTCACCTCTTCAGCCTGAGTCTGCTCCCCAGGAAGGGAGCTGAGCAGACCCACACATAGCACAGCATGGCACACCTCTCCTGACCTGCCCGCTGCACCCCTCAGTAGATCCACCTGTTCTGCTCCCCACTCTGTCTCAGGTGAGTCCTCTCACCGCCCCGAACCTCTGGCCAATGCCCCAGTTCTTCTATGCAAAAAAGAAAAACAAAGCTGGCAACCCCAATCCAATACAAAATCATAACACATCCAAAATTGGATCTTTGGTGTTCTCAAGGGTAGCCACTATGTTCACTCGATGACCCCGTAGCCTTTTAAAAACTTCTAAATATTTAGAAGAAGAAACAGTTTAACAGCGTTTAACTTAATTTTGTTTAATTAGTGGGTTTTCAATAGGCATACAATCCTGGGCAAATGTAATGAAATTAAAAGGCTGATGGAATGATTAACCGACAAAATAGAACCAAGTTTTAGTCCAGCAGAGGAATATGGGCATTTCGCATTCATTAATTAAATACCAGCATAGCTAAAGGGTATTTCAGTTATCTACTGGCTAAACAGATGAACAATAGTAAGATCTCGCTTCTCTTTCAGCTTTTGATTAGGACAAAATTAAAACCTATGCTAAAGAAAACAGAGTAGTATAATGAACTTCAATCTAACCATCACCCAGATTCTGTCACTCTGGTTTCATCTGTACCTTCCCCCACTCTCCCCTCCATTGCTATTATCCTATTTTTAAAGTTTTTTGGGTAAAATAAATTTACTAGAAAACATGAATATTAAATCATCACTTTGACAAAGGAATTCATCCTTATAACCTGCACACCTATCACAATCTGGAAAATTCCACTTGTCCCTTTCTCAGCCAATCTGGAAAGTTCCACTTGTCCCTTTCTCAGACTGCTGCAAGCAGAAGGATACTTTTCCGAGAGAGAGAACATATTTTCTCCGAACACCTCAAATCCAGCAAAGTTTATATTTTCAGCCACACCCAAGGTTTATAATTAGCTTCCTACAGAAATGGCAGTGTAGGAACCTGACAGCCAAACTAAGGACAGGCACCACCCCGGCTCCTCAAAGTGTGCTCAGATACAAAGCCTTGCGCAAAAATGAGGACGTTAGTAACACCTAACACAAACACAACTTCAGGAACTCTTAATCGTTCCATCTATTTTCATAGTACCCTCAAAAAAAAAATTACAGGTCGCAAATACACCCCAAGAAATAAATATTAATACTACAAAGTTGCAAAATAGTAACAGCGGCCCTACAGTAACGGAAATTCTAAGCACTAATAACTGCAACTATACATGCTGGGCACCACAGTCGCTATCCCAAGCCCAGGAAGCAGGAGGGGCAGCAGGCAGGGCGGCAGCAGGAACACCCTGAGCCACGTTCACAGCGTTCACCGGCAATCAGGCTCCATGGCACCAACTGGGGCCTCAAAGCTGGTTCACGCTGACTCGTTGTGTTTAGTTGCTTCCAACCACAACCACAAAGCAGACGAGTGCACGCCCTGCTACCTCAGTCAGCAGCTCACACTCGGTGACGCCCAGCTGGCCTTGTTCTCCGTCCTTGCTCTTTCAGGTGTGCTGGGCAGATCCCTCCTCGAAGCCCCTGGAGCCACACAAAGGACAACTGCTGGGAAGGCCCCACCCTCTGTTCCCCTTACTTGGTCTTTCCTTACAGCATTTTAGGACTGAGCAGACACTGAGAAGGGGCTAAAATTCCCACAGCTGGGGGTGGCTGAGGGGCGATGGTCTCCTTCTGAACTTGAGCTACGGCCAGGCTGCCTGTGTGCTGACGAGGGTGTGTGCCCCTGGCAGGTCCTTGCTCCCAGCTCCAGGTTCTTCCTCAAGCCTGGGTAGGGCCGTGGGTTAGGTCAGCCCTTCACCCGGGACCTGTTCTCTACCAGTCACTGAGGAGCATTCTTTGACAGCAGTGAACACTGTGGTCAACAGCTGGATCAGGGGTCTCTTCCAAACTAGTGAGAATCTGGGCAGAGGATGCGACTGAGTAGAGGATTAGGGCCCCAGACTTCCAAGATGCCACAGTCCTCACCCTTGGCTCACCTCACTGCACGCAGGCCCCCTTCCCTTTCTGGTGTCCTTCAGCTGTACAGTCAGATATAAACATGCTGCAGTTGGTGCCAGGAGACCCAAGAGGACTATCCTTCTTTACACCCTCGCTACTTACAGCTCCTGTCCACCCCAGTGTTGTTTGACCACTCTTTCCTCAGCCTCAGTGGGCACTGCCCCCAACTCTCACCCCCATGCCTCCTCTCACCTCCGTCACCACCACCATCCCACCACCACCACCGACACCGACACCCAGCGCCCCCACTGCCACCGCCCAGAATGCTGGTGGCAGGTATCGAACCCCTTCCACCTTGGTGCCGCTGTTACCTTGTTCTCCTCTGGAGTGAAGAGGATGCGGAAGGTAGACGGCACTCCTGGGGCAACTTTGTGGCTAGTGTCTTTGGGGCTGATAACTTTAAAGTAAGGGGAACTTTCCTCAACGACTTTCACCATCCTTGGAATCTGCAGGGAAAAAGCACATGCCGATGAATGTGGGGCCTGTGAAGGAAAGCGCCTGCATTGTGATTAAAAGGAAATCTGGCGGGCCCTCCCTGGTGGCGCAGCGGGTTAAGCACAGCACTAAGAAGCTGAAGCCACTTCCGCATGAGTTCGATCCCCGCCTGCCCCGAAGGAGATCCACATGGCGTGGCAGACCTCTCCTGACCCGCCCGCTGCTCCCCTCAGCAGTGTACTGCATTGATCTGCCTGTCCTGCTCCCCATTCTGTCTCTGGTGAATCCTCTCACCCTCCGCATCTCTGGCCTGTACCCCAGATCTGTGTAAATGAATAAATAAATCTTTTTTTTAAAAAAAGGAAATCTGGCTGCTACGGCCATCCCTGGACCTGGTCAGGGCTGCACTTTGGCTCCCTCAGCCGAAGGCCGGCAGCAGCACCTATCCTTAGCCCAGAGCCTCTCGCACAGAGGAAGCTTTCATTTTTCCTAAGTTATTACTGTTGTCCACTTCTAGTGTTGTTACAAGTCTTTGTTCATCTGATTACTTAAATCTGACTCTGTTCAAAGGCTAACTGCTCAGTTCCCCTCAGAGCAGTGAGGCTGGGCTCCCAGCTGCTGACCACTCCTCCAGAGAGGGAGCACAGTGCTTCTTGTGAAGGAGCAGCCACCACACATGTAGTCACCCTGAATCTTCGCGGCAACTTTTGAGGCTCATCATGACTCCCCTTCTATAGATGAAGAACCTGACACTTGCCCTGCATGCCCCGGCTTCACCAAGCAACAGTGCTGAGAGCTGTGATACTGTGGATAACAAGGAAAATGTATATGTGGTCATTCAGATGGCAAAAAAATATTTCTCATATATGTGGCCTTTATCCACAGTCCAGGCTCACAGCTCCTCCAAACCTTAGAATTCCTAAGTGTTGCGTGTGATAACATCTCGTTTGTTATAGGAATAAGGTGACTTCAGGAAGCAGTTAAAGATGGGAGCTTAGCGGGTTAGAGGGTTAGAACGTCTCATCCCACCCCTAGACCTCCAGAGAGGAACTGGAGATTGAGTTCAACTGACAATGGTCAAAGATGTATATGTTGTGCCTAAGTGATGACACTTCCATAAAGACCAAAAAGGAAGGGCCTTGGAAAACTTCCCAGCCGGGGCACAGGTGGAAGAACGGGGGAGGATGTGACAGCCTCAGGCCCTCACCCCTGCCTTGCCCTGAGTACCTCTCCCATCTGGCTCTTCCTGAATAATATCCACTGTAACAAACCGGTGATCTAGTAAGTGGGTTCTGCATGCTGCTCCAGTAAATGAACTCAAGCCGAGGAGGGGCTCACGGGAATGTCTCAGTACAGCCAGTTGGTCAGAAGCACAGATAATAAACTGGGCTTGCGAACGAACCTCCAGGGTAAAGAGAGAGGGGCCGGGGGCGCCCATCTCTAGTTTGTGGGTGAGAAGACAGGACACTGCCTGTGCTCGCAGCTAGCATCTGAAGGGAGGGCAGTCGTGAAGACTGAGACTCGTTCCTGTTCTGGAACCTGATGCCATCCCTGCATGGGAGACAGAGTCAGACTTGCGCTGAATACTCAGGCATTGGAAGATGACTGGGCTTGTTGGTGTTGGGAGCCTCCAAGGGCACTCAGGTTAGCAACAGGTCAGGACACCAATTCAGGAGTCAAGTGTCAGCCTATGCCCACCTTCCCTCCTCTGGGACTGTCCTAAGTAGACAGCACCAAAAGGCAAGAACAAAGAACAGCACACTGTCTCCAGGCAGGCTCAGAGCAGCTTCAGCCTCCTCCTTTTAGAGGCTTCCCTCATCTCTGCTTGCCTCTCCCAGAGCCGGGTATCTCTACCTCAGAAAGCTCCAGCCATTAAGGCAATGCAGTTGTAAGAAAACGGAGGGGTCAGGGTGAGCATTTTGGAGACACAAGGAGGTTTTCTTAAGACCCAAAGAAAGCAGAGGGAAGTAAACGGTAGTTAAAATGTGCGACCTGGAAGTTTCAAGTGAAAAGGAGAGGAAAAGAATCTCAATATTCTCTGAAAGCTAAAACCCATGGGGAAGGGAAGTTCTTGAGAAATGCAGAGACAATCTGGACACATTTTTTTCCCCCTAGTTACACAACTTTTTTTTTTTAATATATAATAGTTTATTTTTACATCATTTTGTGCATTTTTTCATCTCAGTTGTAATCCCCGTGGGCTTCCCATCACCAAATCACCCTGTGCCATCACCATAATTCTGGACACATTTTAAGACCAGAGACAGAGACATAAAAAGGAAATGTGTGCAAATCTGGAAGAATGGAACTAGGTTTGCTGGTGAGAGGAATGTGTGGTGGCGTTTCTGATGTGCTCGCTGAAAATATTTTACCAGTGTAATTGTGAATTAAAAACTAGAAAGAAAGCATCAGTAGAACAATCAGTGTTGTTCGTAATAGCAACACTGGGTTAGTGCCACTGTGTGGCAAGCCCTGAGCTCACTACTTTACAATCTTCATGGCATTTAATGTGCTGTGGATTTTGAATCAATAGATTCCATTCTATTGAAATGGATTCTGATATTACACCCATGACTTGGAGAAGTGAAGTGAGTTGCCCAAGGTCTCCCCAGTTGGGAGAAAGCTCAGGTGGGAGCCTGACTCTGGCTGCTCAGTGTCATGTCTCAAGCAGAACCAGTGTGGCTTATAGCTGGAGAACAGTAACCAGCAGGGCTGTATTTTCTATTGCATGGCAGTGAGGAGCAAATAAATGGGAGTGGCACAGGAAACATTGCTCTGTGGCTCAAATCTATCCAGAGGGTTCCTTCCCCATCCAGGAACTAAGGAAGGAAAGGAGGAGACTCACCACAGCCGTCCATTTCAGGGGTCCGTGAGTCACCTGCCTCCCCCCGAGCAAGCAGCCTGCTCGCTGGCAGCTGGGTGCTCCTGGCTGAGGGCCCTTTCTCTGTGGGTCCAACATTCAGGCAGCATCTTACCAAGAATGCTGGGTTATCCTTGAGAACTGTGTGCCCTCTGGCAGACACAGCTCCACACACCAGTCTCTGGTGCACATATACCCACTGGCACTGGGTTCTGGGCAGGGCTGGGGAGGAGTGACCACAAGAAACTTTGGATGAGCAACCCTCCCCCCATAATAACCTTAAAATACCTGAGCAAGGATCAAACAATAAAATGAAGGGTGGGGAGCTGGAAATAAGACACTGACTTGGCTGGCAGCCTACATGGAAAGACAGAGGCCTGGTGTGAGGTGTCTCTTGTAGAGAGCTGGACACAGTACTGAGCCCCTGGGCCCTCTCTGCCTAACCTTCTAGCTTCCGCCCCACGATCTTCTCTCACCCACTCCTGAGGCAAAGAGCTAAGTGTGCCACTTTCCCTGGACTCTCATGTGCTGTCACTATGCCACACGTTGACCCCTGAAAGGCTCCGCCAACTCCTTCATGAGTTACTGTCCCAAGTGTGAACAGCGAGTCCTCCCATCTGCTGTTTGCTGCTTAGTCTTCACTTATTTCCTCTTCTTTCACATGTCTAGAACTTCGCCTCCGCACTCTCAGACACGGCAGGGCTCCCTCCTGCAGCCTGGCCTCTCTCAGGTGCTGCCTGCCCAGCCCATTCCCTTCACATTGACCTGTGTTCTCCGCTCTGCTCATTATTGTTAGACGTCAAGGAAACCTCCAAGCACTTGATACGTTTTCTTGAAATAAACCCAATTTAGCTCTGAAGAAAGGGGCAAAAGGGTGGAGAAGAAGCCTCAGGCGCACCCACAAAAAAACAAGCAGAGACGGTGGAAGAAGCCAACCAGAGCTATCTGTAAATGACATGTGTGGACCACATCAGGGGGCGGGCAGGGGAGACAGAGAGACAAAGAGGGGGCCTTTGTTTTAAAATACATTTGAAGATTATAAAAGCATTGGCTCAACCACTGCTGCTTATCCAAGTGCAGCTTATACCTTCAGGGGAGAAATGGTGATGCTGGGCACACGAATGGCAGCTGCCCAGTTGGAATGAAAGCCCAGCCCAGCTGGCCACACACGACAACCTCCTGACAGTCACCTATCAGTTCCATGTGGTGGGCACTGGAGTCCATCTGGTGGGCGGGGGCTGCCCTGGGGTCTAGCAACCAGCAAGCCAGTGAGGTCTTGTCCTCACTGAGCTTAAGGCTCAAGGGCATGTTTTCAAACCATTCTGCTAGGCCTATAAAACTGGTTCTTTCCTTGTCTGAGCTCCCACAGGGTCTCATTCCATTGAAGCCCTTCTCACATGTCCAGCAAACAGACTCACTTTGTCGTTGTTCCTCAAGACCAGTGGAGCCTCATAGACTTCAGAGGGAGTGTAGTTCTGAAATACAATTTCCGATGGAAAGGGCTGGAATAAAGCCTGATCCAGGTCAATTCTTGAAAACTGCAGTTGAAAAGAGAAAATTCATCATAGAGTCACACAATGATAAATGTGTCTAGGGAAGGGCAGAACATATTACTGATACATTGACCTGGGGATATTAAGATGAGGAACACAGGAAATATTCAGAAAGGGGTGTCTACTATAAACCTTGACTGGTACAGTCAAGTGAGGCTGGCATCAACTTCTTTAATACAAAAGAAATTAGACATTATAGTCCCTGGTTTAAAAGAAATAGGCTAATCAGAACCCAGCCTTAGATTTCCATTTCCAATAATAGTGAAGAAAGTAATTTGAACCAACTTCCCTTTGCGAATAACCAGAAAGCTTCATCAACAAATGCATGCTTAGAAGCACTAAAGAACTAATAAGACAAGGAGGAATTACTGGCTAAAATCCAGGAGAAACAGGTAACTGGGGGTGGAAGGTAGAGTAGAGAAAACTGGAATTTTTCCCCCTAGATTTAAGACTGTGGCAAGAATTAGAACTGCTCTACTTGAATTAGAACTGGTCTACTTTTTTCCCAGCACTATTTTTTTTTTTTTCCTAGAAGCTAACAGAGGCCAGGAAGTGGATTCTCCCTATAAGCTTCCCAAAGGAAAGCAGCCGTGTTGACCCATTTTAAGCTTCTGCCCTCTAGACAGGGATAAATATGCACTGTTTTAAACCACTAGATTTTTGGGTATTTGTTGCCACAAATAGCAGGGGGAGTACAGGGGACTGAGGTCCTGTGAGGCGCTTTTCAAGAGCAGCAGGGCTGAGCCAGAGCGTGGAGCCCAGGGCTTGTAGTGGGTAGCGGCCTGGTGGAACCCCCCCAGCCCTGGCCCGTGAGGGGCTGCACCACACACAGGAATACGTTATGGCAGGCAGGACCTCAATCCTGGAAGGTGAACTAAGGAGCCGATCCTGGCTTGCTGGTGCTTCAAGGGGTGGGGCAGAAGCAAATGAGTCCTCTCTGGAAGAAGAGTACATCACAGGGGCTCAATAAAATTGCAAGAAAAGTGTTTGCAACCATCAAAGCTGCATATTGAAAAAGAGCCAGAAGTATAAGGAAATAAGGTATATCCGATAAGGGAAAACCAGCAGAAACGAGGCTGCAGAAGAGAAGAATTTGGTTCATGCTTAGTCTGTACAAGGAAATAAAAGACAAGATTGAGAACTTTGGCAGCGAATTGGCAATAATTATAAAAAGAAATAATTGTAAATCCTACAACTGAAATTATAACAACTGAAATGAAGAATTCAATGTATATGTCTAGTAGATTAGCTACCATTGATGAATTACTGAACTGGAAGTTAGACCAGAAGAAAATATCCAGAGCTGAGCAATTGTAAAAATGAAAAAGTGTAGAGAGAGAGCTGTGTGCTAAAAGGTCTGAAATAAGTGAAACTGGCATCCCAGAGGACAGCATTGATACTGAAGCAGTATTTGATGAAGTAATGTCAGAGAATTTTCTAAAATTGGACAGTATCAAGACATAGAAAATAAACCTTATTAAGTGTACAACACAAAACAAGCCCTAATATCAACTATGAACTTCAATCAATAATAATGTGTCAATATTGGTTCATCAACTATAAAACAAAACAAAACAAACACTAGCCTAAGATATAAATCATAGGAGAAACTCTATGTATATGTGTGTCAGGGAGATGGGGTATGGGGTACTCTGGATTTTCCAGTCAATATCTCTATAAACTTAAACCTTCCCTTAAAATTTGTTGATTAATTTTAAAAATTAAGATTGGAAAGAAATAAAACTGTCATTATCTGAGGATAATAAGAGTGTTTGCACAGACAATCCAAATAAATTGTTAGATAAATTAGAGAGTAAAATGAGACTTTGACAAGGTTACTGGACATTATGTAGCAGTGACTAGAAAAATAAAGAGATTGTTATAACTATTCCTTAGTAAACAAAACACAATTTGAAAAAGAGGGAAAATCAAGTACCAATGCATTAAAAATATAAAATAAGAATAAGCAGAACAGACATGAAAAGACCTTTGGGAAATTAAAACTTCACTGACAGAAGTTAAAAACTTCAAGAAATGGAGAGACATAGTAAGTCCATGGATAAGATGTAATATTGTGAGGATGTCAATTCTCCCTAAATTAATTTATTGATTTAATGCAATCTCAACCAAAATCTCTGCTCAATAAATGGATTCTAAAAGGTACATGGAGGTAGAGAGAATAAAAAATACCCGCGGTAAAGGCTGTGGCTTGGAGATGGAGACACAAGCTGACCAGTGGTATACAGCAGTCTGGAAACACATCCTCACATCCATGGACTCTGGCACATGGCGAAGGGGCCCCTCTAGGGCGGGGAGCAGCGAGGGGTTTCACCACGTGACACTTAGACTCAAAGAGGACGCTGTGGGGGCTGCAACCGGAGGCACCGGCTCCCTTCACCCCGCCCTTCCCACAATAAGTGGGCTGTGGAAAGATGCCACAAGGCCTGCCAGATCTCGGCTGAGGTCTACATCACTCAGATCTCCGAGGCAGGTGGCACATCCTAAAAGGCAAAGCCGCCAACTCCTTGTTTGCAGTAAAGGAACAGCAACAAGAAATTTCCTAGATGCCATCTGGAGCCGTGAATAGTAGGGAAGGCATAGCTGAAGTGGAAAACACTAGAAATGATATTTATAGGAAGCAGTCTGTCACTGAGCAGGCTGAAAGAGAGGGGATGTGAGTCATGAGAATCCTACAGTCAGAACTCCTGGGAGAAGAAAAGGCTACCACAGTCACTCTTCCTCCTTCCCTCTCCCCAGCTTCCAAATGCACGTGTGTACACACACCCGCATGCACACACTCTCTCTCCTTTCCTAAAAAGCTGCAGACAGACTCTCCTGGAGACTTCCTGCTGCTCTGACCCTGACACTGCCCAGACCCTACCTCAGCACTAACTCCCTGCAAACAGCAAGTCCAGAAAGAATCCCGGGCTTTCCTTCAAAGATAAGGGGTAATCATAATCATGGTGATTATCAAGCCAGCATCTATGCCAAAATACTCAAGAAAAAAATTAAAAGCAAGCAAAATGGCAAATAAACATTTACCAGAAAAGCATGACCTTGCAGCAATGAAAACCTTAATACCCTATTTCACCATAAATTCAAAGAACATAATGGGAAAAACTCAGAGCACACAAGACAAATATTCAAGAGTGCAGGGAAGAGATAAGCAATCAGAACAGATGAAAAATTCATATGTTCATTCAATAATGAGTTTCCAATGTTTTCCATATGCTGAGCAAAGTCCTGCCTCATGGCATTCTTGGGTAAATGGACCAAAATAAGGAAATATCCAATATAAGGCAGGTGGTGAGAGAAGGCTATGAAAAAAACTGAGGCAGGACAAGGAGAGTGAACAGGAGAACAAACTCGCGCTGCAGTGGCTGCGGAGAGCTTCACAGAGCCGTGCTTTAACCCGCTGCACCACCAGGGAGGGCCTGGGAACAATTTTTTATTGGGGTGAGGAGTAATGGTGGGGAGAGGAAGGACAGAAGAAGAGGCTGAAATCATAACGATTTTTATCTATTTAACAATTTGCCTAGAGTTAGCCTTTTAACTGAGTCAATAAATGTGAACAGCACTGGTTAGCAGAGGTTCTACCATTGCCATGAGTAATATACTGGCGAGAGGAATGCATGAACACACACACACGATCTGCATTCACACCTGCTTTCTTTTGAATTGGAGGTTAGATAAAAACTGGAATCCGGTAAGGGTCATTCTGAAGATGATGGGGAACTGTTCACCCTCTTTAGGACTTGCTTGATAACAATGTTTCGCAGGAAGGAGTTTTACAGAAAACGCTCACAGCAGCCAGCTACCATGGGAAGCTGCACTGCATGCTGTGGAGACACTGGGCCTTCACACCAGCAGGCACCACTTACTGAAGTCACTGCTGGTCCCAATGTGCTCACATTTACGTGGGGAAGAGTAGAGGGAAAAGATCAATGAGGGAGGCAGACTCAGCTGGTGTAGGATTACAGCTTGTGACTCCTAGGATAACAGAAAACTACTACAAGATTTAACATGGAAGTAATATATTCTGATTTATTTTTTAATCACTCTGACATTTTTATAATTAACTGATAGTGCTGTGTTATCAATTGGCTGACAACAGGATGAAAACTGGGAAGCTACTGGATAATCTGGATGGTGGCGTCCTGAAATGGGAGGGAGGGGGGGCAGTGGTTGTGATGAACAGAGGTTTGATTACAGATGTATCTGTTTTCTAAAAGGTCTATACACCCTTCTGTACACAGCAGCACTGTTCACAGTAGCCAAGACCTGGAAACAGTCTAAATACCCATCAACAGATGAGTGAATGAAGAAGTCCTGGTCTATATACTTAGTGGACAACTACTCATCTCTTAAAAAAGATGAAATCTTGCCTTAGCAACAACATAGATGGACCCTGAGGTGACTGTGCTACACAAAGTCAGAAAACAGAATACAGATGGTTTCACTCATATGTGGAATATTAATAAACTGAACAAACCATCTAACAACACAACAAAAATTACTCAGACTCTGAGAACAAAATAGTGCTTACCAGAGAGAAGGAAACTGAGGGGTGGAATCAGTATAGGGGGTCAGAAAGTGGTAAATGGTGGTAGAACTTTGGAGAATATCAAGTGTGAGGCTATACCCCTGAAATTTAATAATAAATCAATAAATATATTTCTGAGGGCAGAGTTGATAGTACGTATTGGATTTCATATAAGATGTCAGAAAAAGAGAGGCATAAGCAATAACTCCAAGGTTTTTTGCCTGAAAATGAGTGAAGGTACTATAGGCCAAAGGGGAGAGAATAAGTAAGACAGATTAGGTTTTTAGGTGAGGAATGCAATGGAATAATAAAATCTTAAAAACGTGAAGTTCGAGCTGCCAATCATTGAGCTATTCTATAGTCCAGAATTTAGGGGCTAGGCAATGTCAGGAGATATAAATATAATCATGCACCCCTTGAAACACCTCCAACATCTAGCACTCAGGAAAAGGAGAAGTAGCCAGCAAATAAAATAAGAAAATAACCGGGAAGTAGGCAGAAAAACAAAGGAATGGGATACTGACATACAAGTGAGTAAAAGAGACACTGTCGAATGACGTCAGCTAATTCAGGTCTGCTGAATTAGTCAAGCTTCAGTCAGTCAACAATGGAGGTTCACACCATAAGTTATGCATAAAAGGTGAAGCAAGAAATTAATTTAAAAAGTGGGAAACCAGAAATTATTTTACAATCATGAGCTTGACAAGGCTAGACCATATGTTTTACACTAGAATATGTAAACATGTTGAAATAACCATCCTTTGGTGACTAAAAGGATATATTTGTTATTGGAAGTGAGCCAGAATAGACAACAAATGCCGCCTTTCATAAACAAATTCCATTTCCTTCCATTCCAGGTGATAACAGCTCAGGTAAGGAGGGATTTCTTTTTATGCAAAGGAGAGAACTTAATTGGGCATGGCTAATTTCACTCTTGGAATGACTCTTACTTTGTAAATGGTAGTGACTGGGTTAACTAAGAAAGACGTATAACTACTCAAAAGTCATTTGTACTTATAATTTTAATCACTCTCATTATCACATCACAGGTATTAAGATAACCGAAACCAGAGCATGTCTAAAACCCTGTAAGAGGTTAGCTCAGGACTGGTAATTGTGACCCAGCTCTTTGTTCTAGGCCAGGCAGGATGAAACTACCTTTTGGTAAGTTGTCTCCCCCATATCTAAGAGCTCCACGATCCGCGGGCGGTACATGAAGTGCGTATTAGCCAGTCTCTGCTCTGTGGTGAGGGACATTTCCTTCAGGAACTCCGAGGGTGTCAGCTAGAATTTACAATGAGAGCCAAAGACTCATAAGTGGTTATCCTGAAAATGGCTTTTCATAAGTACCAGTAGTGAATAATTTGTGTTTGCAGCTTTCAGGATGATTAGGGAAAGATGCTAAGTCCATTTATAAAATATTTAAAACAACTAAATAATACAAAAGAAGTACCCAAGAACTTCTGAGTTCTTTGCACTGAAATTTGAGATGACATCTGGTTGCCGATTGCTTATGATCTGTAAGGAATGGCGCAAGGAACTTGGGGCAGCCAGGGGCGAGGAAATGGCACAGGAACATGGCCAAAGAGCTTAGTGTTTTTGCTTGCAATAGTCAACTGAGCATGAAGTTCTTAGATTCTAAAATCACTATGGGCACCACAGCTAAGGAATTTCTAATATTTATATTTTTCTAAAGTTAGTTAGCTAACTAAACTACAGTTAGCACATGTGGGCCCTCCCTGGTGGTGCAACGTGTTAAAGCGCAACACTGTGAAGCTGGCATAGCTACTTCAGCACAAGTTCTATCCCCGTTCTCCACTGCTGCTCCCCTCAGATGTGTATTTTGTCAGTCTGCCTGTTCTGCTCCCCAGTGTGTCTCTGGTGAATCTTCTCACTACTCCTGAACCTCTGTTCTGTCCCCAGTTCTGTATGCAAAGATAAATTTTAATAAAAATAAATAAAGTCAGCAAACGTTAAGGAAAGCTTTTGAGGGTTTAAAAATCATGCTCAGTGAAATAAGTCAGAAAAAAGAAAAATACTAGATAGTTTCACTTGTAGGAAGAATATAGGGGAACCAAAGAAGATACAAGAGAATAATGATGACACAAAACAAAACAATAACAGACAGTCAATTATAAACCAGAGACATCTTGCAGGAGATGAGGAGGGGGAGGGATTTGGAGGAGGGAGGGAGGAACACGGGACTGTGATGATGGTGCAGAGGGGTGAGATGAGAGAGGAAAACTCTTCTATGGGACCTAGTGTGGGGGGATGTAAACAAACATTGTCTTAAAATAAACAATGATGTATATATATTTAATTATAAAATATTTGTAAATATATATAGTTACATAAACATGTATAAATAAAAATAAAATAAAATCAGGTTACAGAGAAATCTAGATCTAGGATCTAGAACATGTGATCATACTGATGAGTAGTGAGTTTGGACCTTTCAGAAGGCATAGGAGCACACTCAGACCTTGTTTCCAAAGAGTCCTGAGTCACTCATAAGAACCAGCAGTCTGTTACACTGACATGTGCAAAGGAGAGCGCAAAGCCCTTTCACACGTTCTAATGTTATGAGAAAAAATATAATTGTAACCTATAAATGTAACCTATAAAATATAAATGTAACTCAACAAGGGCTTAGTGAGCCAGGACCAATCACTATTATTTAGTTATTGCTGTTCTGGAATGTTCCCATTGTTCCAGGGCCTACTTTATATGCAAAGAGATTATGACCACTGGCAGCAATATAAAACAACGTATGTGCCAAAGACTTTTAAAGACATTCGGAGGTATGTAATTTAGCTGATTCATTTTGCCTTGGGTTAAAATCAATGCTCTTCAAATTCTCTACAAAATTAATTTCTGTGATTGAATCCATGTAAATGAAAGCATATTTCTAATATTACTTCCAACTTGGTTTTTGAAGTTTTTTTGATTAGAATCCAGAATAGAATACTCAGATATTAAGAGGTATCAGCTGTGCTGTGATTTAAGCAAAAAACAGTAAAATCTTAAAAGCAATAGGAGTTACTTTAAATATGTAACAACCACCATCACAAAAGAGAAAGATGACAGATTTTATATTCTAATTGGAACATAAATTTAGCATTTTAAATGTAGTGAATCTATCTCTAGCACTTTCTGTTAATGGTTACTGATATTTTCTATAGCATGGAGTTTATAATTCAGTTCTCACCAAGTCATTATAATTTATTGAAAATGTGTTTTTTTTAAAGAATATATATATTTTTTTTTTAAAGATTTATCCATTTATTCATACAGAACTGGGGTACAGGCCAGAGATGCGGAGGGTGAGAGGATTCACCAGAGACAGAGCGGGAAGCAGAACAGGCAGATCGACGAAGTACACTGCTGAGGGGAGCAGCGGGCGGGTCAGGAGAGGTCTGCCACGCCATGTGGTCACCTCCGGGGCAGGCAGGATCGAACTCATGCGGAAGTGGCTTTAGTTTCTCAGTGCAGTGCTTTAACCCGCTGCGCCACCAGGGAGGGCCCCAAAAATATGTGTTATTTAAAGATTTATTTATTTATGCATACAAGAACTGGGGTACAGGCCAGAGGTACAGTGGGTGAGAGGATTTACCAGAGACAGAGTAGAGCGCAGAATAGGTGACTGAAATACAGTGCTGAATGGAACACTGGGCAGGTCAGGAGAGGTCTGCCGTGCCATATGGGTCACCTCCCTGGCTGGGAATAGAACTCATGGTACAGTGGCTTCAGACAGCTTCACAGTGCTTCGCTTTAACCCCTTGCACTATGAGGCCCAATACATAATTTTTAAAGGATATAAGAATTATATCTTTTCCTAGACAGTATAGGCATTAATTTAATGCTCTATGCTATACAAATATATGAACAAAAAAAACTGTCAACCAACAGATTGTTTGGGTTAAACCCTATGAAATTCTGATATTTGTCCTTTTTCTCAAACTATACAAATGACACTCTCATATGGTTAAACCTAATATTTAGAGAACCTTAGTAGTTTGTCTAGTCTTTCTTTGATTAACTAATGCAATTCAAGCCTCTGCTTTCATGGAGGTAATTTCAAAAACTTTTGGGCATTGAGAGGTACTAAATTCTACAAGAAGCTATCTTGTTAACTAAATAGATACTACCACTCAGCAATTCTCTGAAATTCTGAGAATGCCAAGTAGTAACTGCCAGGCTCCTGGGACACTGAGTATTTTACAGAGAAATTCTCTGATACATTACCATTTGGTTTACATCATCTTCTGTAACCAGTTTTGGACTGAGGGGTGGCAAAACTTTGCTCTGGGGTCCCTTAAGCATTTTGACTAATCCCATCTGGACAGCCCCCATGGTCTCCTCGAGTCTTCTACTTGTCATTTTTTTTTTCTTTGCTCACCTAAGAGAAAAAGTAAAAGTTTTAGAATAAATAGTTAATTTCTGAATACAAGTTACAGGTGACAGGTCACAATTTCTCTAGCTCTTACAAATACAGGAAGGTCCAGGAAACACTGACCTTCCCAAATCCATCAAGTGGTTGGCGTAAATACCATAACTAAAGGGTTCTAGTCCATGTAACTAGTCTAGATTTAGCTGTATTCCAAAGTTTAAAATTCCTTTTAGATAAATCAAGTGATTCTTAACTAAGTTCGCAAAAATAGCAATTCTTACACTTTGGCACTTTTATCTTCCCAACAAGATAAACAAATTAACACTGCCCGTAAATAGATGGTAGTTTGCCAGTTTAGCTGACCGTTCTCTCAAGATGCACCACCCTTCAAACAGATAAGCTTTAAACTTCAAAACTTGAGACACTTAGTGTTTACACATAACGAGAAATTATGTCTGAGGTTTATTTAAAATACTCTATACACTATACAGCATGACTATTGGTCATAATATTGCAAGTTTTAGTAAGTGCTATAACATCAAGGGGAAGAGGGAGGAATCTACAGCAAGCTTCTAGAAGTAACAAGTGAGTTGTATCCAGGTCACAGGATACAACATAAATGTATAAATACCATTCATATTTCTATATACTGGCAATGAAGATGTGGAAACCAAAGCTCAAAAAAACAATACCATTTATAATTTCCAACCATCAAAAAAGAAATGTGTAAACTGAAGAAAACACATACAGGGCTTTTATGCCAAAGACAAAGTGCAAATGGTGGGGCGGGGCAGGGTAGGGGGTATCTAAGAACATCTAAATAAAAGGAAAATTGTGTTCATGGGTTGGAAAGACTCAACAAAGTAAAGATGGTGATTCTCCTCAAATTGGTACAGAGCGTTAATGTAATGCCTATCAAATACAAGCAAAGCTAATTTTAGATATAAACAGGTTTATTTCAGAATTTATATGGGAAGGTACAGCCCGGCCCTAGCAAAGTAAAACAATCTGACAAAGAAAAATAAAGAGGGGGTAATTATCCTAACCAATCCCAAGGCTTATTTTATACTACAGTAATCAAGACTACATGTTGTTGGAATAGAGAAGTAGATGAAAGATCAAAAGAACAGAACAGAGAAGTTAGAAATAGACCCATAAATATTAAAAATTGATTTTGGACAAAGGTACAAAAAAGCAATTCAATAGAAGATAAACCGGTTTTAAATAAATAGAGCTGCATACAACTAAAGATCTGTAGGGGAAAATTAACCATGCAAAGCTCACAAAAAAATGTTTCAAAAGGATCTTAGATTTTACTACAATCTATAAAACTACAAAACTATTGAAAATAAACATAGGAGAAATTTTCTAGGTCTAACGTTTGCTTTGATGAAGAGTTCTTAGATGTGACATTAAAATCCTAATCCAGGCCCTCCCTGGTGGCACAGCGGGTTAAAGCACTGCCCTAAGAATCTTAAGCCACTTCCACATGAGTTCAATCCCCACCTGCCCCGAGGAGATCCACATGGCGCGGCAGACCTCTCCTGACCTGCCCGCTGCTCCCCTCAGCAGTGTACTTCGTCAGCCAGCCTGTTCTGCTCCCCACTCTGTCCCTGGTGAATCCTCTCACCCTCTGCATCTCTGGCCTGTACCCCAGTTCTGTATGAATAAATAAATCTTTAAAAAAAAAATCCTAATCCAAAAAAGGATAACTTCAATAAAGAGGACCTGATCAAAATTTAAAACTTTAACACTTAGACTAGAAACTGGGAGAACGTGCTGTGAACTTTCTATCTGGCAATGGACATGTATCTAGAATATATAAAGAACACCCAAAGCCAAACAGTAAAATCACAACATCTCTTTGATTTCTTCCTGCCAATACAACAAAGTACCACAAACTGGTGACTTGAAACAACACAAATGTATTATCTTAATGTCAGGGAGGTGCAGTGTCTGCCCTAAGTCTCACTGGCCTAAGACCGACGGCTGCGCTCCTTCCCAGCGGTCAGCGGGGAAGTCCATTTCCTGGCTTTGTTGTCTCTTTTCTCTTCAAAGCCAACACCAGGTAGTGTGGCTTTCTCACACCACATATGCCTCCAGCCTGTGCTTCACCTCTTCTTAAAGTCACCTGGACAGCTATGCTAATTTCAATATGTGACTTTTATTCTCCTTTCCCGTGTAATTATAGCCACCTTGAGGACGTGGGGATATTTGGGAAAGAGGAGGTATTATTCTGCCTAAAACACAATTTAATTAAAAACAGAGTAAAAGTCCTGAGGAGACCTTTCACTGAGGAAGCTCTCACAGTGGCAAGTCATATGGCGAAATGGTTATCACTAGCCATCAGGACAACACAAATTGATATCATAATGAAATGATAGCAGATACCTATCAGAGTAGCTACAATTTTTTAAAAGTTATGCAAGAGGAGCAAATTTCAGAGATCTGCTATACAAAATCATGCCTACGGTGCTGAATAGCCAGTTGCAGGTCTTTAATGGTCAAAAGTTACCATTTTTCAGTTGTCTACCAGAAAGAAATATAAACTTATTTGAAAAGATATCCTAAAATTGGGACTCTGGAGCTTTACCTAGATCTTCCTTTGGAAAGAATCTTGATTGGTATGTAGATCTGGATTAGGAGACAAGATGAAATGCGTAGCTTTCTGTCTCTAGAACATTCAGCCTCTCCTTTTAAGTCCATTAACCCTATTGATACTCTCTCATGTCTAGGTTCTCAGGCTGTTATGTTTCTTTAGTTCAAACTACAAGGTTATTTAGAGATAAAATTTATGGAACCCTCTCCCTTCCATCCTATTCCTTTTGATTCATCCCAAAGGTCTCAGTAGAAACATCACTGCCTTAGAAAGTTTTCCTGTCCTTCCCCAATGTCCCTGTTATAGGATTTTACAGCAATTACACTCTATGCACATAATAAACAATTTGTCTAACTGGATTTTCATATCTGCTTTCTCCAATAAAGGGTGGGCTCCATGCGGGCAGAGATCTTGACCATCATGCTCATCACGGGTCTAAGTACCTAGCATGGAGCCAATAAATATTGAACTGGCATAAGCAATGAAACCAGTAAGTCATTCATTAGGTTTTCCTTCTCAAAAACATCTTAATATTAAAAAAAAAAAAAAAAGGATTGGCACTCCCTGGCGGCGCAGCGGGTTAAAGCACAGCACTAAGAAGCTGAAACTGCTCCTGCATGAATTCAATTCCTGCCTGCCCCGGAGGTGACCACATGGCGTGGCAGACCTCTCCTGGCCCGCCCGCTGCTCCCCTCAGCAGTGTACTTCATCGATCTGCCTGTTCTGCTCCCCACTCTGTCTCTGGTGAAGTCTCTGGCCTGTACCCCAGTTCTGTATGCACAAATAAATCTTTAAAAAAAAAAAAAAAAGGATTATTTGGCAAATACTTATTGACTTTCCCTCCTACTGAGAATAATATCATTTTTCCTTAGGCAAACACCCACTCCTTACCCTCAATTCTATCCCAAGGTCACGACTCCCAAGCCATGGTGATTGGTTCTGGACAGGGCACAGGACCCAAGTCAAACCAGTGAGAGCCAACGAGGCTTAATTCTGACTGTGGAACCGCTGAAAAAGAGGCACACTTTCATTCTCTAGAGGCTGCTGAGAAGTGGGAGCCTGACACTGCTGGCAGCCACTTGCCCCGACGAGCTGTCTGAGAATGAAGTCACACTAATACAGGAGTGCCTAGAGACTGGTGATGGCATCATCATTGAAGCCTTACGTCCAGCCAGGAACTTTTCAGAGTCAATTAATGATTCTCTGACACAAGTGTCATCTGAGCTGTATGCTGTGGTCATGTCTCAGAATGAAGTGAATTCCTTATAAATAATTGCAGTCCATCTATTATTTGTAATGTCATACTGTACTGTGAATAGCCTGAGAGCCATCCAGACCATAAATGGCAAAATCAGGTTTTAATAGCCTAGCTGATTTTTGGCAAGTATGCTAACTTCAAGTCAGAAGATAAATCATTTCAAAGTTACGCTTGCCTTACTAAAATGGAATAACTTCTATTTGATGTGCTATTGATTCTGTCACCACCAGAGTCTGAAAGACTGGGAGGACTACAGACACCTATGGTGAGGATGTCTTTGACTTCTTCAGCTGTTCCACTCTACGGATGTTCATTTGGAGAATTTGCTTCAATTCAGAACACACAAATCACTCCAGGTAATTTTATAAGCTCCTAATGAATACTAGACAAGTCATATACTTTTAATTGCAGACAATTCATAATACATATTTATTCATTTGCTGAAATGAAGCAATATTAAAAGTATATTCATCTGACAACTAAATGTCCTAAATTTGGAGCTCACCATCAAACAGATGTGAGCTTATTCAAATTTTAATATAAACAACAGATGCATGCTAAGACTGCTGACTTAGCAAAAATAAAAAATAAATTAGCTGTGGTCTCTCATTTACTAGTAACTTCATTATGGAGGATAAAAGATAATCTTTAAGTCTTTCCCTAGCACAACAATCCCTAAACAAATTGTCTTTTCCTCAATGTGCTATATCAGTAACCTATGGGATTTCCTAATATGAGAAAATATCTTCTCACATACCTACAATTACTTAGTAAATCATGCCTCAAATCTGTTTATCATACTTCAATTGTGAGCACTCTGTTTTAAGCCATTTTAAAAATTTCTCCATCTCCCTGTAAAAATCTTCTCCCTGTGTAGTAAGGTTAGGCTAAGCACAGTTTCCTAATCTCCTATGCTTTGGTTGGCCTTGGGTGTGGACATGTGACCCTACCACAGCCAATCAGAATCCTTCCCTTGAATGATAGTTGAACATGGATGAAAGGCCTTCCTTTAGACATGCCAGCCTGAAAATGAAAATACCACGGTTGGTAGGCATCTTCCACATTGGTTGGAGAAGGTTTTTTGTAGAACACAGTCAAGGAGATAAAAGCAGAAATGTGAGCTAGATGAGTGACAGGAGGGAAGGAAGAAAA